TTCACAGCTTATCTTTCGTACTGTATAATTTTGGTAAATACAGATGAATAAAAGGCTTTTCCAGATTATCTAATCATGCAGTTCAGTAACACCGTAAGCAGGATAATTATCCATATCTAAAATGATGCTAACATAGCCAAGAATAGCACAAACACGCAACAAAGGGGGAAACCTTTTAAGGGCTATACAGTGAAACCTACGGAGCCCCTAAAGGGACATAGGTGATTTATATATTTATTTTACCGTATATGGTGCGCAGCAGATACTGTAATTTTTTTTTAATCGCCTATGTCCCTTCAGGGGCTCCGTAGAAACCTACTCAGGCTGGCTAGAATGTATTCTGGTGAAATAGCTCTCTGCTTTGACAAATAGAATTTAATTACTGCTCATGCGAAGCTCAAACCCACATTTCTCCCACCTACTGTAAATGAGGTTGTCGTTTGCATTATCTTGACATAGGTAATTACCCTGATTGAAGTCCTGCTTCGTCCATGGCTTCTCCACATAGTCCGAGCGGGGCTGCGATTCGCTTTGTGCATGAATCTGCCTTCTTGAACAATCTGTAATTTATCACTAACGTGTGGGGAAAAGTGCCCCTTGGGTCAAGATTCTTCTCAGTGGGAGCTGGCTGGGTGTCATGGCCTTTTCTCCGTAATATTACAATCGGGGCCGGGGCAGCGTAGCCCAGAAACTCAATCTAGGACTTCTAAATGTCACGCGGCTCCCTGGCTATTAAGCCTATGCAGTCTGTAGCATATGGCCACTCTTCTCGATGTCCTTGTTCAGTCCAATGTTCTCCCATTCAAGGAGAATGCAGAGCTGAGCTCCTACACCAAATCAGCTAGGTGCTTATTAGCTAGCTAGGTGGTTCATACTGTTCAGATGTCAAAGTGGGGGTCACAGAAGATCATAGCATTGCACCAAGCAGAGGGAGGACCATCACTGCTGTCCCAGCTGGCCTGCGATCTGTCAGTATCCCTGCAGGTTGTCAGATTCCAGCAGTGAACGATCTGCTTGTCCTCTAATCCGAAGTAGCTTCCCTGGGTAGCGGCAGTTAAAATTTCCATGGCTGGAGGGAGATAAAATAAAATAACCAAAGAAGACCCTCATCTTCAGTTTTAAAAGCTCTTTGGAAGGCGTTGACTTAGCATGATGGTTAGTAAAATATGCGGACTAATGGTAATTCATTATGCATATAACTGTGTTTTCAAGTTCACTTTTACTATGTCGTTATGTGTTTTGCATGCCTCATTAATGTTGTATTGCTTTATTATTAATGTGCATAATGCCCTTGGTGTTAGGCAGCTATACATCAATTATAATTACTTAAGGCATGGTTATAGTGCTAGAGAATATAGTTGTAAGATTGTTTAATTCGGGTTGCGGAGGCTTTTGCTATGGATTGCAGGTGCTTGGAAACAGCCAGACATGCGTGAGAGAAAGTGGGCGTAACTTGCTGCATCACTCCACCAGATCAAAGACAATGATCATACTGGGAAGATGATTCAATGGGCAGGGAATTGCTAGCAACACAATGTTGTTGGCAAAAAAATGAAAACATCCTCTCATGCTGCTACAACATTTTCAGCATTAGCGTTACCCTGTCTACATAACCGGCGTCCGGAGAAAAGCACAGCCTAATGTTTTTTTTTTCCATTGATATTCATAAAATGCGACATAAAATCCCTATAGATTATGGGCCTTACACCCCTTCGATACAATTCACCTCCATGTCCCCCTAAAGAAAAGACCAGCATCCATCTAACAGCTGGGTCTGACATCACCGCTTTCCACAGGAATTCAACTGTACCTCATTAAGTTGGCCGGGCCTTGGAATGATCTCACCGCCTAGCTATGTTACCCCAATCCCCGCCTGACATCCTCTGCTGATCACCACTTAAAAATAAACATGTTGTGCTTCGTAGTTTATTCAGTTCGAGCTGAATGGATCCTGGGATCCTTACGTGTTACGTGTAGCGTGTTTTTTTTAACAGATGATAAGCATGTTTTTCTTCAGCCCAAAAATGTTACGCTGAAAAGCATTAAAATTCAAATTGTAACATTAAGGTACTACAGTTTTTATAAACACGGCCTAGGTAAATGCTACACTGGTCTCCGCAGCACTTCTGGTGAAAGCATCTGTGAAAGATTCTAAATAGGGAAAATAATGCTGATTGTCTTCAATTGGCTTCATGCTTCCAGGAAACAGTAGGCGTCACTCTTGCAACAGTTCATCATTATGCTCACCTTTAATTATTCAACTCCTTTAATTAACTATTCATCTACCGTTCATGCACTGAAAGGATCAATTAGTCATAGGGAAACCATTCCCCTGCCTAGTTAAGTTTCCAACAGTATAGCTCATTATAAACAAACAATCATAATGCCTCATTAAAGTCATGAAGCGCATGGGGACCTTCAAAAGCTCTCATTGTTTAACATGAATTAGATCTGCGGTATTAAAACATGGGCATCTTGTTTTCAAAATGGCCGACTGCATAAATCTGGCCAATGACAGTGCAGGAAAATTCTAGTTGTTTTGATTGTCTTCCTCCTCTTATTTTACTCAAGAAGTTCAGGGTTAAAACAGGCATCAGGATGTGATTCGTGTAGAAACTTTGAGAAAAGTAGTTCCTCCTATGTTAGATACACGTGATAACTCCATAATTTAGCAAAGTTTTTACAGTATGATAACAGGGGCAGCAGATTAAATAAAATCTAGTCATTATGTAGAAATCTCCCATCTGCTTCTTTCCGCCAAAAACTCCACCTAAAAGGAAATCTTATATCACATCCACCGTTCAAAATTTGTGAATTATCAAATGTGATAATTGAATAAAAGTCCTTGTGCCCACGTTATCCTTCATAATTTATTCAGTGCAGGAAGAATGCAGTCTGAAATCGGCATATACATCTTGCTTGTAGCTTTTGTGGCGTTTTTCTTTTTTTTCTCACTTCAGATGATATAAATAAGAAATATGTTTTTGCTTCCAGTCTTATGTAAGAAATGAAAGAACGTGTAATAGAATTTTCTAGTACCTGTAATGCATAAAGAATCACTACCCGGAGCACATGTGCATAAATAATTGAGTGAAGTTGAAAAAATAATAAAACCGATTGCATTCTGAGCAAAAGTTCAGTCTTACAAAATGAAAGTGCAAACTGTGAGGATATTCTGGGGCCTTAAAAACAAATCAGCAAATGCAAGAGTCAGCAAGTGTAAAGTAGCCAGGCAGAGCCACTTACTTTACCATGAGAGCACTTTCACCCTCCGTATTTTACATCATGGGAATGAAGAAAAATGGTACAACTGTACGGTGGAGCCGCAGTGAGAGCAGTGTCCCTGTGACCGCATGGGCAAGACCGTTAAAGCGACCTGATCCGATTTCATACATATTCACCTGAATCAAATAAGCACGCGTCATCTTTGCCAAGATCTAAATATGAGCGCGACTCACGGTAAGGCGATTACCTGGGCAAATAAATAATTTAGTTACAAACTCAGGAGAGATTTGCTGAGATCATTGGAGCCTTGAAATTATAAGGTGCGCTTCGACATTTTGTCAAAATGTTATTGCTAACATGGAAATCCTCTATCCATTGATATTATGTAGGATGCTTAACATTAAGTCTGTAAACAAGATAAAACGCATTCGGAACTCATCCTGGAACTTTTGAGAGTAATACCCCATATTCAATCATTTTTTTTTATCAGAAAAAGCCATTTAATCCTATGGTTAAACCTGATGTTAAAAAAAATTCTGAGCTACGCAGCCATTTGCTCCTTACAAACCATGTCCACTGAGATGTCACGTCAGCAGCAAACATCTTCCAGATGCTCCAAGTTTGACTTAACACATCTCTTTCTATAATTCTCAACTGATAATTGGCCGCTCACACGTGAGACTTCTGCACAGTACCAGACGTGCAGTATTTTTGCTTATCCAAATGGCACATTCAACAGCCTGTAGTGCTAAATAATTAATTACACGCATGCATCTCTGGAAGGGAGATTTAGAGGTGGCAGGGGGCTGGAGTGGGTCCGTTTCATCCTCAGTTAAGCATGACCATATCATTTCTTGCACTGCGTTCTTCAAAAGAGAAATGTACAGTCCAAAAGTGTCAGTCCATTGAAAACAGTACATTAAGTCCTCCAACTGAACAAAGATGTGTTTGCCATAGTACTTCACTGTCTGCAATTATTGAACACTGAACGATTTGAAAAAACTCTCTTGGTTTTTGCGGTATACTTGTTGCATTATTCATCTCCTCAATGTAATTAAAAGAAAGTGCAATATATAGCTATCAAAGTCATGTATTTAATGCCATTTCTGGCCTTATATCATCTGTCTTTGGCACTCTTGGTTTGTAGAGTAGCTAAATTATTGTTTTTAAACAGATTAGCTGGGGAAACATTTTTGAAACACAAGGTGATTCATTAGTTTTGTATTAACATTTAATGGCTGTTTGAAAGTGTACACTCTTGTCCAAATTCATTCTGTGTACAGTGACTACAGGAATGGGAATTTTGTCTTATATTGAGTCTAAATGAGTCTACTGCAAGTACACACACAGGTGCGTTTATTTTTAAACATGCCACCTGTTGTCAATTTTTCAAATACGTTGAATTATTCATTTTCTACTGAGTCCATGAGAGGAAGATAATTTTTCTTTTCTTTTTCCCAGACTGATTCTTCCATCCTAATTCAATATTTACAGGGTCTCAAGAATGTTTAGATACAATTTTAATACGGAATGCTTTACAAGCCAGAAAAAAAATAAAAGCAAGTTTTCTAAAAAAAAAAAAAAATTTAGAGAGGGTTTAGAATCAGTTGGGAACTGGAAGCAGAATCTCACAGCTTTATTAAAACAAAATATACTAAAGGCTGAATACTGTGCACACAATATGAGAGACTTGTACTGCAGTGTTTCCTGTTAAGCCCTATCACCTTTAAAACATTGTAGTCAGCCCCTGATTTGAAAACACGCTGTCTTTGTAGGTTATGCTGGACCAGCACAGACCACTGCAGGGCCACATGGGGACGAAGGATTTTATGCTATCCTGGGAGGTGAGTAAGACCCACATTACCGCCATAGACACAATGACACTCCTAGACTATAGCTGAATGCTACTGGCTTTTTGGAGCCCCTATGTAAAAAGCATGGCAGCGTTAGAGGCAGGAGCAGATGTGGGACTGACCGCCTCCAATAGCTTTTACTTCAGCCAGAGCCCGGTCAACTCCCAGTGGGTCTTCTTGAAGCAGAGATCTATGTGGGACAAGACCAAATGAACACAGAACCTCACCCATCTCTGTTAAACCTCTTACACTGGAGCAAATCTTCATCCATCTATCAGACAAAAATGTTGTACTTTGGGGGAGGAGTAACCAGTTCACCATCATTTTCCTCTACAATAATGTGTCTGGCCTGGTCTTTGAAGTATTTCCATAGTTATATACTTCCAAATTTATGCTGAACACATCATTTCTCTCAAACAGAAGAGCGTTAAGAAGACAGGTAAAAATACACAAACTGGTTATAAAACATATTACTCACTTTTACCATTGTGATCGCCTTGTTTACATGACAATGTCATGCAAAACAACTTGCAGTTTCATACTTTGACGTGAAATATTATTAGAAATACATTCCACAAAGCCAGCCTTAATTGATACTTTATTGGTTACATTGCTGGGTCATTCGGGTCAATCATTACAGCCTGTTCTATGAATCGGTGAGCCTTACATGTTCCTTACTGTTCTATGAATCGGTGAGCCTTACATGTTCCTTACTGTTCTATGAATCGGTGAGCCTNATGTTCCTTACTGTTCTATGAATCGGTGAGCCTTACATGTTCCTTACTGTTCTATGAATCGGTGAGCCTTACATGTTCCTTACTGTTCTATGAATTGGTGAGCCTTACACGTTCCTTACTGTTCTATGAATCGTTGAGCCTTACATGTTCCTTACTGACTCCCAGTTACTGTTTTGGAAGGTGTCATCATCACAGTGATTCTGGTGCTGACTTGCCTGGTCATAGTGCTTTTGCGCTACATGTACCGACACAAAGGATCCTACTTCACCAACGAGGCCAAGGGCACCGAGTACGCGGAGACCGCCGACACCGCGCTCAAGGGTGACCCCTCCCTCCAGGAGGCCACGGACGAAAGCAAGAAGGAATATTTCATCTGAGGTGGGACGTAACGGTTTAACGTTCAAATTCAAATTCAACTAACGCACCAACGGAAATTGACTGTGAAAATAGCTAAATAATCCGTAGACGTTCCATCTATCAGTGTCATTAAAAAAGCAGAAACATAGTGTCTCTTCTCCCTTTTTCCCAGGATGCAACCAAAAGGACACATGAGATCTATTATCATCATGACAGCGATTGACTTCTACTTCAGCAAAAACTGTGACTATTGGCTTTGGTACCTCATCATACAGTATATATATATATATATATCATGCCTTATATATATATATAGGAAAAAGCCTGGATTTGTCATTGAATGAGATCTCGAAGACTCTTCTATCAATATTGGGCACATCTGAAATAGAAACTGGCAGTCGCAGAGCAATAAGTGACTCGGCAAAGAAATGTGAAATTCCTGCACCAGGAAAATTGTTTAATAATATTTCCAGAGTTAATGAGCAAATGAATCCAGCTTACAGCACTGGCCTGCCACAGACAGAAGTCCACAGCACTGACACCAAAGCGTAAAACTAATATTTTGTTGTAGTAATTTATTCATCAACATGCTGAGAAAACAGAACTAAAAACAAATAAAATAAAATCTATTTTAAAAGAAATGGAGTGACCCTTCTGCAATTAAACCATCATCAGACACATCCTGGCCACATCGACAGAACATTAACTAGCTAAACTCCCAATATGCCCACAACCTACTGAATCCCCCATTTTCATGACCTACTGTAATACAATATAGACAAAGACCTTTGCAACTTCTGCATAAATACAGTAAAGTCCCCCTTTAGTTACTCAGAACGCATGTTATATATCACATAATGTCCATTTAGCCAAAATATGCAGATGTCTGTTAAACTGTGTCATCTGTCACCTCCTGTATAACATTTTTTCAATATATTTCTCATTTGGTCATAATTTCGTTGTTTATTCCAGTTCATATTCAGTGAAGTAAAACATATTTACTTTGGCTTGAATGAACATAACCAAAGATGCATTTATCTGGTGACAAATAGACAGTTTGTATTAATAGAAAGGAAATGCAAAGGTGCAAGTGCTGTTAGGGCTGGAAATGATAATGAAAGATATGGGGATTAAAAGGAGCCTTCAGAGAGTCACTCCTCATGTCCTCTAGCTATTTTACATATTTGACTACCTGGGTTTTCCAAAAATCAGCGGGTTCTGACACTGTTGCGGTTGCCTTTAGTATCACGGTAACCTCGATCACATGGTTTGTCATTCTCTTTGGAAGCTGGGGTGGCAAATTAATTAAAACAGGCCCTTTTTGATCCAATCACTAAACAAACGCTGCATGTTTTTTTTCCTGAAGTATTTGCCAGCTGGAGCGGTTTGTTTGAGTAGCGAGTAGCTGCTCTAATTATTTGTTTAGGGGTTGTAATCAAATTTATGCTAATAATGCAAAGCCATTGGCGTTTTGTAGTGTTTTTCTTAAACTTCTTTGCAAAAAATAATAAACTATACAGTCTGTATTATACACTAGAAAATTGTGTTTCTCTCAGTTTGGAACTGCCTATGAGTAACATCGTCAAACAATAATATCTGAAGGTTCTAGAAGCCAAATGATCTCTCGCTGTTATAATGTCTGCTGTCTAAAAGTGTCCATCTTAGATTAGATGCATCTAGAGTGACTTTCGTGCCTCAACCAGGGCATTTGTACTGTCTCTAATTTACAAGAGGATCCAGACTATTAAGTGTAATTTGTGTCCATCACAGTGATATGGAGACTGGCACAGAAACAGCACTAAGGCTCACAAATTGGAGGAGCTGTTCTAAAAACATCTACTCTGTTCTTAATGAATTAGATACCAGGCACCGTTCCCAGGTAACACTGTTTGACACTGAGTCTTTAATTTAACCCTGGTGTTAGGAAAAAAACAGGGGGTTGTGTTAGCAGCCCCTGATGATAGATTGCATCTGACTTCATATTTTGGTTTAATTTAAGCCTTAAACAGTGTCTGCTGGAGTGGCACAGTGGGGATCACCACTTCCCCCTCCAGGGCTGGGGGTTCAATTCCCGGCCCTCTTCTGCATGTGCTTCCCTGCTCCGCTTTATTGACATGGGTTTTTTCCATGTACCAAAATTTCCTACAGCCATAAACATCTGGTTAGTTGAATCGGTGTCTCCTTAGTGTGTGTTTGCATGTGCTCCATGATGGAGTGGATGGAGTGATATCATGGCCATGGTGTCTCCCGCCTTGTGCTCTTTGCTTCCTGCAACCCAGTACTGGGTAGATGGATATGAAGGATGACTGAATGGATGGATGGATGTTTTCTGCACCAATGCTTAAAGCAGACACCCCCTGTGAAACGAAAATTTCACAGCGTGGGTCTGGATTTGATCCTCAGTATTTTGGAGGGAAAGTAAATTTACTGTGGTTTGAGCAACCGATTTAGAATAATCATTCTTTCAACAGCGGAGAATGGGGCCTGTATAATTGTGGGCTTCCTGTCACAGTGTGCACAACGTTGTATAAAACTTTAATGCGCAATATAAAATTGCAGATGAATTTTGTGAGGAGTTGCTACCTCGCAGCGGGGAAAACCACCTCCATGCTTTGGCTAACATCTGCCGCTGCTGGCATCACCCCTGAGTGTGGGGGCAGGAAGTCGGTCTCAGTAGCAGCAGCTGTGGGAGCCGTGTGGGGGCCTGTGAGGGGCTGGGGAGGGGCGAGTTAGAGCTTCACAGAGGAGGACAGGGCACCCCTCGACAGTGTGAACACAGACCCTGAGCAGCCATGTTCGAAATATTAGCCTAGCCGTTTTGTCTTTGAAAGGAGCTAGAGATATAATTCCATCCTAAAGTCCCTGTGACGACTGACCTAGGACAGAACACTCCTCTCCCAAGTGCCCTTTTTCCCGTCTTTCCTTAAAATTTTCAGTATTAGTGCAGCTATCAGGAAATGATTAATCGTGAGGTAATACCAACAAAGCAAAATGCAAAAAGGCCGCGTAAAGTGTTTCGTATGTAGCAAGCTAGGTCCCAAAACAGATCAAATTTACCATCAAAGGAAGCACTTGCCTTTGCACAGAGGCTCGGGTCTCATTAAAAGGCTGCGGGGATGCTAACATACGTGTGCATGCAGAGCACAGTGACAAAGCCCCAGGTCCAGAAACATAACACCCAGAACCTTGTTTGTTGTACAGAATAGCATCAGTTTAACAGAGTCACTGCTAAGAATAAGAGTGGGATAAAACAACTCCTGTGTAGAATCTCAGATGTACCTGTGATGCAGGAGCGTACCATTCACTCATCACAAATGGGGGGGGGGGGGCAGAAGTGCTACTTAAAGCATGATTATTTTGGACCACTAGAATGTTGCTGCGGTGACAACATGTATTCAGAACACGATGAGAAAAATACAGACAAACCTGCAGGTGATATCACAACATATGTTATTTTACATATTTTATAATCAATACATTTGTCTTTAGTATTAGGGCAACAATGTAACATCTAGATCACTTGATGTGTCATTTTATTTGGAAGGTAGGCCGGCAGATTAATTAAAACAGGCTCTTTTTGATCCAGTTGCAAAACAGAAGCTGTTTTCTTCCCCTAGAATAGCTGGAGGAGTTGATTTGAGTAGCAAGAATCTGCTCTAATTATTTGTTTAGGGGTCATCATACTTTTTATGCCCCTGGCGTTTCATAGTGCTTCTCTTAAACCGAGGAAAAAACAGGCTAACCCTGTGGATGGCATCAGCAGATGTGGCACCTGACATGCAACTCCACAGAAGGTGGCTTGGATCTCATCAAGTACTTCCTGTTTCCAAAAACGTATCATCAAAAGCAATACCAAGCTCTTAATGATTAAAGTCACCCCTTTAAGCCTTTACAACTAATTTCTGTAATCGTACAATTAAAAAATATGACCTCATTTTTTCTAATGAGAACAGTTTCTAATGAACATTGTGGCCTCCTGAGAGAAGACTTTAACTAAGCAGCAATAACATCCAGAACTCATCAAAGGAAAAATCTAAATTACCCACTCAAAACTGTGTGTGTGTGTGTGTGTGTGTGCGTGTGTGTGTGTGTGTGTGTGGAGGGGGGGTGGTGGGTAAAGGCATCAACCATTCTTCAACGTTTGTGGAGGAAACAGAAGACAAGAAAGTTCCATCTCTTTAGCCACTGTGCTATATTCTGCATGAAAATGTCCTCATGTATGACTTGCCTTATTTAGACGACGATAAATACAGTTCAATATGCATTACTCGGTGTCATCTAAGTCTGTGTGAACGACCCGAGTCTTTCCATAAAAGGCTCCCTGAATCTTTATTAAGGCTCTTTTTAGGTGAAATCTTTCTTATATGTGAACATTTTAACAGTTTTAAGAATGTTGTTGTTAAATGATGTTTATGCAAGAATCAAAAACCTAGGAAATATCAAAATCGATCTGTACTTGTTCGTAAATTATTGTGAACAATGCATTGACTGGACACTGAATTATATTAAATTTTAGCTTTATTCCTGCTTCAAATTGCAAGAAACAATCTTGGTGATAACTCAACAATAATGAAAAGCTTTCAATTTTCACAATAAGAACCTTAAGGATTTTTTAAATTTAAAAATAATCTGAATATACAGGGACATAAGGAGACTGGTGAAAGATATTTTTACCCAAAAGAAACTCATTTAGGCATCAGAGTCTCATTTGGGCCCTTCAGTCCATCTGTGAGTTTGGGTGAAGGTACGGTAAGGTCAGACTGATGTCACTTGTTTCCGACTGTGATCCTGAAGCTCAGAGTATTTTCACAGCCTGATCAAAGTCAGAGTAATGTAGTTAGACCATGGCACGGTGGCAAAGTCAGAGTAATGTAGTTAGACCATGGCACGATGGCAGTAAGCATTCACACATGCAGTCTTTGCTGTTCTCCTCCCTTTTCACATTTTATTTTGCTACAATCAAAATAAAACTCACTGGTTCCTCTCACTCTAATTTTTAAAAACATTATTGATAAATTAATAATAAAACGTGAAAATATATCCGAAGCATGTAAACAGATTTTATAACTCCTGTATATTTTGCATACAGAATCACCTCAAGAAAGGAGAAATATTCGTGTTTTACGTAATCATATATAATCATCTTATCACATCCTGCCACTGATGCATTCAGGGTGTACAGTAACTGCTTGTCAGTCTGTTTGCTGACCAAGCCTGTCTGTCAATGAAACATTTTACTATTCAGTCCAACTGAAGTACTTTATTGTCATTGTGTAACACATCGAAATAACCGAGCAGCTTGACGCTGCTGCATCTGTGTCTGCTGCCATCTTAGTCCCATAACAAACACCACTTTATAGGGGGGTGGTTAAAGCTATTAATCATGAAATCTGAGTTTATAGGGTGGAGACAGGGGCTGAGATTTGTTCTTGGAATAAAACGTGTTAAAGTGGTTGAGCAAAGCAGCTTAGAAGGATTAACTTTTCCATGCTAAGCCAAACAGATGCCCAAGGTATTACCCTTAAAATGGGGGAATGGGGGGGGTCCAATCCAGATGTGCTGTCTCCATTACTGCCAAGCCAGCAAATTCGGATGGAATAATGAAGCCCACAGTGAATCGTTGAAATAAATTTAGCCTTATTATAAAAGCATACCGGTTTGTGGGCCGGTAAGCTCATCTCTAGATCCTTTATCTATTGGGAGATGCTGAAAATTACCTGGAAATACTGTAGTACTGTGTCATATCTCCCTTTCATTTCCTCATAAAGCATTTTCCCTTCCACATATCCACTACAAATCAGTCATTTTAAATCATCTTCGTTTTACGCAGTTTATTTTCCACCTCCTGTATATGAATATAAATACACTCATACACACGCACACACACACACACACATATATATATGTATATACAGTATGGGGAATTGCATGCGGTCTTTATGACATTCCATATGGTTACACACAGAACAATATCATACTAGCAAGAAACCTTAAAAGTGCCAACACTGCAGATGCACACGATGGGATTTACCTTGTATATGGAGCGTAATATCTGCCCTCATGTACTGGCTTTCTGGTTGGCTGTTTAAAGTAATAGTAGCTCCCAACCCCCCAAAAGATAGCAGAAATATATCTTGAACTCATAACAGAAAGTACTAAACTTTCTATTATGGATTATGGAATACGCGTTGTAATACTAATAGTTCTAAACATTTAAGTCTTTTGTGGCCATACACCATCAAGCAGTCATGTATAAATATTATCTCGGTATTTTTTGTGGAAAAGTTTCAACCTACCAGTTTAATAAGCTTCCTTTGACTCCCCGAGAACCAGAAGTAGAAGTTCAGTGCTTCAGGGGCGACATGCCCCAACCTTCGAAGAGAGATTTCGACCAGCTGATTATTTGTCTGTCAGTGATGGTCAAGGCTCCCTGTCGCTAACGGCATTAGGACCTACTCTAGCTATGCCTCACACAGACACATTGACAAGTGGGGTACTGAGTACAACACAAACTGAGAGTTCATGTGCA